AGCTGTCAGACAGAGTCGTTTGCGTCTGCAGAGGTTTCAGCTGCTTTTTGTTGTTGTTGTTGTTGTTGTTTAGCTGTGCCCTGTCCCCAGAGGTGGAGTCTACAGAGACAGGCAGGACTCCTTGAGCTGCTGTGAGCTCCACCCAGTTCGAGCTTCCTAGCCACTTTGTTTATCTACTTAAGCCTCTGCAATGGCGGGTGCCCCTCCCCCAGCCTCGCTGCTGCCTTGCCGCCAGATCGCAGACTGCTGTGCTAGCAATGAGGGAGGCTCCGTGGGTGTGGCACCCTCCCGGCCAGGTGTGGCATATAGTCTCCTGGTGTGCCCGTTTGCTAAGATCCTTGGTAGAGCGCAGTATTGGGGTGGGAGTTACCCGATTTTCCAGGTGTTGTGGGTCTCAGTTCCCCTGGCTAGGAAAAGGGATCTATACTTCTAATATATAATGCTATACAAGCAAATGAAGAAGTGTGGGTGAATTCCTCTATAAACTGGATGTAGGGAAAGGCTTTCTAATGATAACCCAAAGTCCAGATTCAATGAAACGTTAATAAACTTGACTTTGAGGAGCTAGTATTTCTAGTATATAAAGAGTACTCAAAAATTAATGGGAAAAATAAAAAAGAGTGGAAGACATAAACAGATAATTAATAAAAACATATAAAAATGACCCTTAAACATATGAATAGATGTTAGTCTTCACTCATGGTAAGAGAAATGCAAGTTAAAACCAAAATGAGATACCATTTCTCACCTGTAGGATTGGGAGAGGCTAAACAGTTGCTGAGGGCATGGGGAAACAGGTATCTCAGATATCATATACTCTTATAGAAGAGAGCTTGGCAGCATCTAACAAAACTGTGTATGTTTATTCATTTGGCTAAAAAGTTCATGCTTAAAAATTAACCCTAAAAGTACACTGTATTAATCTGTTCTCATGTGTTATTAAAGATATACCTTGGCCTGGAACAGCGGCTTACGCCTGTAATCCAACACTTTGGGATGTTGAGGAGGGCGGATCACCTGAGGTCAGGAGTTTGAGACCAGCCTAGCCAGCATGGTGAAATCCCGTCTCTACTAAAAATACAAAAATTAGCCGGGCATGGTGGCAGGCACCTGTAATCCCAGCTACTCGGGAGGCTGGGGCAGGATTGAACTCCTGAGTTCACTCACTTGAACTCAGGAAGTGGAGGCTGCAGTGAGCTAAGGTGGTGCAAATGGGGAAAATGTAGATTAAACAATTGGTGACTGGGTAAAAGGTAAATGGGAATTTCTCTGTATTATTTTTGCAATATTTCTGTCAATTTGGAATTATTTCAAAAGGTATCCAAAAAGCTAAAATTTTTTCTCCTTCCCGTCCTTCTCTTTTTTCTTTCTTCCTTTCTTTCCTTTCCCTCCGTCCCTCTCTCCCTCCCTTCTTTCTTTCTTTGTTTCTCTTTCTTTTCTTTCTTTCTTTCTTTCTTTTTTCTTTCATTTCTTCCTTTCTTCCTTTCTTTTTCTTTCTTTCTTTCCCTCCCTCTCTCCCTCCCTCCCTCCCTTTCTTTCTTCTTTCTTTCTTTCTTTCTTTCTTTCTTTCTTTCTTTCTTTCTTTCTTTCTTTCTTTCTTTCTTTCTTTCTTTCTTTTTCTTTCTTTCTTTCCCTCCCTCTCTCCCTCCCTCCCTCCCTCTTCTTTCTTTCTTTCTTTCTTTCTTTCTTTCTTTCTTTCTTTCTTTCTTTCTTTCTTTCTTTCTTTCTTTCTTTCTTTCTTTCTTTCTTTTTTCCCTCTCTCTTTCTCTTTCTCTCCTTTCTTTTCTTTTCTTTCTTTCTTTCTCTGAGCCTTGTTCTGTTACCAGGCTGTTACCCAGGCTAGTGCAGTGGTGAGATCTCAGCTCATTGCAACCTCTGCCTCAGCCTCCCTAGCAGCTGAGATTATAGGAACACGCCACTACACCTCACTGATTTTTGTATTTTTAGTAGAGATGGGGTTCCACCGTGTTGACCAGGCTGGTCTTGAGCTCCTGACCTCATGTGATCCACCTGCCTTGGCCTCTCAAAGTGTTGGGATTACAGGCGTGAGCCACTGTGCCTGGCCAATAGGCTAACTTTTTAAAGCTTAGTAAGATGTGACAATATATTTAAAAATATTAAGACATTATTTGGTAAGGGGGAAAGGAAAAGAGGAAGGACACATCCTCTGGTGCAATCAAGAACTTTAATTGGAGGCAGCTCTTCCCATGGGGGCTTTTTCAGGAGCTGGGGTGACTTTTGCTTGGTGGCCCAAGGATGGTTCAGACGTCTTCTCCTCCTTCAGGGGAGTTTCCAAATTCATCTTCATGACTCCTGTCCACCGCCCTCTTCCTCGTGGAGGCACCCCAGCAGCTGTGCAGCCGCCGGCTAGAATGCTCAGGGCCTCCCAATGAGGCACGGCTGGAATGGCCAGCGCTCCTGGCAGTAGCGGTTTAAGTTTCTCTTGTAAAAATTTCTTTGGGAAGCATATGCATTCAGATCTGAAAGAAGAAAGGAAAACATTATGCTGGGTGAAGGCCTTTGAATAGGGCTTGGATGAACTGTTATTGTTGTTTGTATCCATTGCTGATCATTCCTCAGATTCTTGAATCCCAAGGGACCCAAGGCAGCCCCTAGCTTAGGACTTGGAAGACTTTTGTGATAGGAGGAGTTTCTTGCAGTGTGTTTTGCGTTGTGCTACGTTGGTGGCTTCAGTGACGGTAGGCTGTCTTGCAAAGCACAGTGGCATAGAAGGTAGGAGACTTGGGCCCCTCGTGGCTCTGACACGTCATTCCCTAGCGCACTCGTGGGAAGTCCCTTTCCCTCTGTGAACCTCAGCCCTGTAGGGGGTGGGAAGGGCAGAAGGAAGGAGAGGTGAGGTAGTGGGGTTCCTACCTTCTCAGGCTTGATTCAAGCAGAGCTGTTCCTCTTTGGTCTTTTATAAAAATTGGACTCTGTGAAATGTTGTTTTCAAGGGGGTTTCAAAATGACTGGGTTGGATAATCCTTAGTTCTCAGCAGGACTCCTGGGGTGGTTGTGAGTTATGTGAGACCACCTGGGCATAGAATTGCTGGCCAGCAATGTGGCTGCATTTCTTCTTCCTGGGCTGTGCCCCTGTCCCGGGATTGGGCATCTGTTCTTCCATGACCTGGAGGCATTTCACCCCCAGTTGAACTACATTCAATCCACAAGTGTTTTCTGGCATTGTTTACTTGCCATGCACCTGGCTGGATCTGGGGGCATAACAGGGAACAAAACTGATGTGGGCCCTGCCCTCCTGGCACTTACTGTCTAGTGGCCAAAGTAGATATCAACTAAGCATATGAAAAATACACGTATAAGATGATGCCACCAGGTGCAGTGGTTACACCTGTAATCCCAGCACTTTGGGAGGCCAAGGTAGGTGGATCACTTGAGGTCAGGGGTTCGAGACCAGCCTGGCCAACATGGTGAAACCCT